CCTACCTGCGAATTAAGACACAGAAGACCCCTTCCATAGTACTTGAGTTTGAGGTTCAAACAATCACATTAATTACTACGGCCCTCCATTTTGCTTTTTCTGTGATGGGTTCCATTCAAGTCTACACGTCTGTCTTTCAAACAGCAGTTGAAAGGCATTTCATTTTCCCAGAGGGATCTTGTCACTTTTTTTTAATACAGTATCTAACCTTGAGGTACATGTAAACAGGTGTTTACTAAATTATTTTAATAATGACAGTCATGGCTTGGAGTGTTGTTTCATTATCAGAATGTTTAACACTCATGTTGCTAAATATTTAGCACCTGATATTTTGCAAAACAATTCCCATGCCTTTTTTTGTCAGTCTTCTGCTCTCCTCCACAGTGCCCATCATTAACTTACACAACAGTGAGGATGGACTCTAGAAACAGACTAAAGCAGTGTGATCATTTTGCTAATTAGTCTCACTGTTAAGTCCCCAGGTGTTTCCCAAGCAATCTATCAGCTTTCCTTAGTCCACATTAGAAAATAAAATTGTCCCCTGATTTTGAATGCTGAGCACTGATTTCCAAGACCCAGAAGGAACAGTTGGAAGGACCCTGGCTGACCTGTCACTACCCTGTAACAAACAGCTGCAACACCAGGCAGGAAGAATTACTGTAAAAGGAAGAAAGTGCTGTTGGCCACTCCCTCACCCTCTCTTAACACGGTGGCAAGAGTTTCTCAGACCTCATGGATCTTGCCACAACAACTAAGCAAGCCAAGTGAAGAAAGGGATAGAAAAGAAAACACCAGGAGTTGGAAAACATCACTGAAAATGAGAACAAATCTCAGTTACTTCCTAACCTAGATCTCAGGAGCTTTTCTGCCATTACCCAGCAGGAGACCAGCCAGACTCATAAACAGAAATCAGCTGTGAAGTATACCCAGTTGTTTTTGGGTTTTTTCCTTAATAAAGTAAGAAAATGATTTCTTGTCTTTGAGCTGACAAGCTTTGTAACCCTATAGGTTAGGGTTCCGAGATCCCAAATTTTAGGTTGCCTCATGCTCCACTGGCCCCTCTGGTAAAACCATCCATGGGAAATCAGAGAGAAAATTAATATACAGCCATAAAAAGTTCAGCTAATCACCCAAAGGCTCCCTCAAGGCTCTGTAGGATTTTGTGCTACAGATAAACAGAAACCTGAAGTAAGAGGGTGCAATAGAGTGGGAGGAATCCAAAGTGGGTTTTCATTGCCAGAGGGTGGCCAAGTTACCAGGGGACTCAGTCATACTGGTGTGTGTGTGTGTGGTGGCATGGGGACACACACTGGTCTTTGGGGTTCTCTGCATGGGGCAGGTGTGGGTGTGATGAAAGCAGCACAGCAGACAGGAAATTCTCTCCAAATCCTCCGACATCTTTCCTCCCCAACAGGAGTGCCCCTGTCCTGACTCCTAAGCCCTGGAGCGCCATCTACTGGGAGAGGCAGAAGCTACAGCAAGACACGTTAGGTCTTCCTGGGTCCGCATTCAGTGGTTCATGCAGGCAAGCATTCATTCAGTCATGCATTAAGGCCTAGAATGAGCGAGGGTCTGTACTAGCAAGTGGGGATAAAAGACTGCCAGGGCCTCAAAATCCCCATTCATTATGGCTCCTTGGACTCCTTCAGTCTAGCCCTTATACGCAGAAGGACCCACCTCAGGCAATTTTAAGTCAAAGAGAAAACTGAAGGAAGAGTCCTAAGTCATCACCAAGACTGAAAGATGACTCCAGGGGCTAGTGGCTCATCATTTCATTTGCAGAGGACTATCTCTGCAGAGCAGCATCTACCTGTAGAGAACAATTACCCACTTAACATGAGGTACAAATGTCTAAACAGTCAGGAGACTGCATTTCCAGTATTCCTCTCTGCAATACATAGGGTCCCCAAAGTGCATTAGGCTCCTGCATAATCTACCTAAAATAGCTTTACCCTATTCCCTGTGTGTGGTTCATGTGTGTACAAGCACACACTTAAACAGTTAGCATGTGTTCTATGGAAATAATGAATAGTTGATTCTTGTAATATAACCTATTATGTAGTATTCTGATAGGCTGCAAAGTGAGCAATACTAGGAACAATATTTTAAACCTCAGCAGCACTTTTTCTCCAGTTTCCTCCATGCAGGATCCAGAGAAGGAGAAGCCAATGCCATGCTTTCTTCAACTGGCATGAGCTGAGGTGCAAGCAGCATTGTCCTTTGACCATTTGTAAAGAGAATTAACTGTGATCACTACTGTTACTTTATTATGATGATTATTATTCTGCTGTATTGATCAGTTAAAAAGAAAATACAGTGTGTCTTCCACTCCCAGAACACGGTTCCCCCCTCTGCCTTGTCTTCAGCAGATAAGGGATATACCAATGTTTTGTTAAATGGTTGACTAATTAAGAAACTCATTTGCTAACTGAAGGCTGAAATGGAAAATCAGCCCAGAAAAGTGAAAGGCTAGGGTGGGACCAGAGCAGATAGGGCACTAGAGGTAAGGCAAGGCAGCATTTCCAGCTGAAACCCAGGGCCAAACGGCAGTTCTTCAGGGAACTTTCGGAATGTGCCCATGAGCTGACCACCACCTCCACACCTGGATGAGAGAGAGAGAGAGAGCGCCCACAGGCAGAGAGAAGCTGCAGAAAGGCTGATCCCAGTGCCATCCAGCCTGTCAGGAAGAGAAGCCCCACCACTTGGCAACTTTCTCAGTTACCCACTTTTTGGTTTGTCACCATCACTGCTCTGAGGTAATCACTTGGCTTCTCCTCTCTCCTGAAACTCTAACCCCCAATTATGTTTCACTGCCCCTTTGGTTATTAAGTCACAGCAACCCCTTCCTTGTAAATATTTATGCTCTTTCAGGTCTGCTTCTCCCCACCTTCGTCACCCTCCTCCTCTCCTCCCCCTAAAACAACTGGGCAATGCCAACCAGGCAGGAAGAGGGAGTGGGAAATGGAGGGAGACAGAGATCCTGGTGCTCTTTCACCTGAGAACTGCATCCAGGAATGGAGGCAAACCCGCTCCTGTGAATTATATAATCACTGCAGCTTCTAAGGAGAAAACTGGAATTCAGGTTGCCATAGTGTTCATTGGCATGTTGCTGGAAAGGCAGAGCTCTCGGCCCTGCTTGCTCCCTCCTCTTCCCTCCACCTTCTGCAAAAACCTCTCCAGGGTCAGCTCCTACTTTTAGTGTCTGCTCCCTGCATTTGTGTGTAGGGAGGGGGATGCTGGGGAACAAAGGGGCAAAAGAAAGGAAGGAAAATGGCTAAGAAGGGGTTTAGCTTACACTAAGAGGGGAACTTGTGAACTACTTACGGTTATCATTAGGTGAATAAATAATTATTACCACAGTGTACTGCCATTGTTAGTAGAGTAAGGACAATACTACTGAACTCTCCTCTTCAAGGCTGCTTAAACTGAGCTGAGAACTTGGAGGGCAGAAATCCATCCCCACTCTTCAAAAATATCACCCTTTCCTTTGTGTCTCTGATTCCCTCCCTCCTACTCCATCCACTACTCCATCGGCTAAGAAGGGGAGAGGAGAACAGGTAGGGGTTGGGGCATGAGGTAGAGAAACCGAGGGACAGAAGCTGCCCTCCTGACCCCAAAGCCCTGGCTCACCCTAGAACCTATGACCCTTAACAAAATTCTTTCTACCTAAAGAGGCCAAAATCCCTGCACTGCCAACCAAGCTCCAGTTTCAGGATGGACGGTGACTGGAGACCAGGCAGATAGGGTGCCTGGCAGTCTGGCTCTAAAGGTAGGGACACTGTCCCCAAATGGTGGAAATGGGAGCAAAGGAAGGGAGGAGGCAGAAAAAAAGAAACATGGAGACAACCCCTCCCCCAGGCTGGTGCTCAGAGGATCACTTTAAGTACCCCAAAAAGTAGCAGGACCAACAGCGACAGGTATTCAGGAGAAAGAGATTGAAAGAAGAGTGTAAATAAGGAGGTTCCGGAAACAGCGAGAAAAGGGAGCGACTACACTCGGAGACAGAGAAAGCCATGGAGAACAGCCAGAGATGGAGCTGGAGGCTGCCACACTCCAGGAAGACCACCCCCCTAAACTTCATCATGACCTTAATTGCTGAGCGACGCCAAAATTAATAAATAAATAAATAATGACTTGTTAATAAGCGGGGCGGGAGAGAAAGTTTTCAGGAAGTGGATAGTTACCTGAAAGCCTCTTCTCACAGGGGGAGCTGGTGACACTTGATGCCCAAGATGAAGATGCTTAGAGAATACTGGTCAACAGTGTGGAGCCGCGTGAGCTCGGCACACCCTTTAATTATTTCCTTAAAACATGAAAAAGCAAAGCCCACACACCGCCCGATTCTTACCGCTTACATCCTGAGGTGCTAGCTCACATGTGGGTACAAATAAGAACACACAGGGCGTGGGCACTCTCGGGGTCAACGACATAAAGAGGTGGGTGGGTGTAGGTGAAGCGTGGGAGCGAGGAGCGAAGACTCTCATCTGCATTCCTGGACCCCCAGAGCGCGCTGCCCAAGGCAGGGGCCCCTGGAAGCGATTGGGGAGCCGGGCGGCGGCCCGAGCGCGGGCCGGCCTGGTGCCGGGGGCGCGCGCACGCGCGCGCGCGCGCTCCCAGCCGCGCCCGGAGCGAGGCGAGGGACACAGGCCGGCGGGGCTAGTGGACTCCGGAGCCCCCTTTCCCACGCATGCGATGGACCGGGCAGTTGAGCTTTCCAGGCAAAGGCGAAAAAGCGAGACAGGAGCAGACACTTGGGGAACTTTTCCCCTTCATAAGAAACACATGCGCCGGAGAAGCCGGCACGGGAGGGGGAGGGGCGGGAATTTTCCGCTGGGTCTTGAGGGGTTCGGGACCCAGTCTCATCAGTCTCTAGAGGCAGAGGCGCCCCAAGCAACTCTGCAGGGACTGGCACCGGGGCGAGCGGGAGCGGGAGCAGGAGCGGGGCGGGGAGGGAGGGAGCCCACCCTAGGGCCTCGGCCGCACGGCGGGGCCAGGCTTACCTTGGTGGTTTTCCTCTGGGATGTACATCCTCGTGTTTTCATTGACCATTGACCAAAAATTGTTTTAAAAGGAGAAGCCACAAAAAGGAAGAAATGTCAAAACACCCCCCCACCCCCCAGCGGGTCTGGATTAATCCCTCCTCCGAGGCAGGCGGTTTCGTGCAAAATTCAAGGAAGCCGTAGAGCTGCGGTATTTCTTCTTCCTTTCTGATGATTACCTGATTCCCATTATTGCATCAAACACTAAAAACTGCTCCTTTCCACTACTGCCTCCTTGAGTGAAATTGTAATGCATCCTCAGTACATCCGGGCCCCTTCCAAGAATTTAGACCCGCACCTCTGGCAGTTACACCGTTTGAAAAAATCAACCAAGGGGAAGCAGCGCGAGAAGAAGCAGAGAGGAGGGATGAGGACAGCGATGGACCCCCAGACCGGGAAGGCCAACAGGGTCTGAAACGTTTCCGCAGCTCCTGGTCAGTCCTCCCAAGGCCCCAGCTCGGCTCTGTTCTGTCAAGAAGCTCCAGCAACTCAGGAGGTTCGGAGGCAGGAAGAGGCGCCGCCGCTCCGGGCCGCGCAGCGCCGAGCGCCGTTCTGGCAGGAGCTGTTTCTGCAGAGGCAGAGAGGGAGACTCGCGGCGCGCGAGAGCACCGCGCTCACCGCCTCCAGCCCAGCCCGCCGCGCCCGCGCCCGCGCCCTCCCCGCCCGCCCGGCACGCTGGTGGCAGACGCGCTGAACGCTTCCAGATGTGGAGCAGCAGCGGCGGCGCGCAGGAACGGGGCGCAAGACGCAGGGCGCACAGCACTGACTGAGCTCCGGGTGAGCACCCACTTGGCTCTTGGCCGCAACGCGGACCTGTCCAGCTGCCCACATGACGTCAAAGGGCGCAGGCGAGGTGCGGGCCTGGAAAGGCTGGCAGTCGGGGTCTGCGCGAGGCGCCCCCCTTGGTGGGGCGGGGCGTGGGCAGACGTGGGGCTCAGGCGCCATACAGTCGCTCGCTGCGCGCCCCGCCACCTCCAACCATCAGCCCCGTTATACTCGGCAACGCCGGCGAGTCCCTGAGCGTCCGTCCATAGCGGGAAGGCCTCTGTGAGCGGAATTCCAACAGAGGGGACTACGCTCTGTCCAACTACCAGAGTCTATTTGCATATCGGGCCACTGAACAAAACCGCAAAATGAGCCGTGATTCCGTGATTCTGTCTGATCAATTATAATCAGAGCGGTTGTAGAAGTGACACACTGAGGCAAGGATGGGAAGAGAGGAGGGGAGAGAGAGAGAAAAGGCGGGAGGGCGGAGCCACCTAGACTAGGCAGTGGTGCCCAGATGTCTGAGCAGATTAATGGACCCAGGTTTTCTAATTCCTTGGAGGCAACGGAGCACGTGTTCTACTACGGTATCCTTATCCACTTCTCTTAATTCTTTTTGCCACTCTGGCAGGAGTTTATTGAACCCTCTACTTCCCGAAGAAGTGAACATTTCTTTCCATCTCTCATTGCAGCCACAGCAAGTTCACGGCACCCCCTGCAGGCCTGGGCTCCTCTAGAGTGAGCTTCCTAAACCCTGGCACGGGAGCCTACAACTCGTCGTGAGCAAGAATCTTTCTGCCCTCAGACCTCCCCACCTCCTACCCACACTTGTTCCCTGTGTAATCCTCTCCGTCTCCATGGATTTAAGCAGTTGTCCATATCGAATTCGTATCTCCAGCCCAGATCTCTCTTCCTGAATGCCAGGTTACACAACCAACCTCAGTCTCCACTTGGATGTCCACTACACAGCTCAGACAATCAATCCCTTTTTCTGGGCAGAACCTGCACTTCACACAGTGTTCCCCATCGCATTTGGTGGGGCCAAAAAATCTGGAATCATCCTTGACTTCTTTCTCTCATTCTCCTACATCCAATCATTCAGGAAACCCCTTGGTTCTACTTCAGCTAAATCCACTTCTCAGTGTCTCCCCTGCTGCCCCCAGGTCTCAGCCAACATCATCCATCATCTGGGTTTGTGCACAGGCTGCTCTCCTTGGTCTCCCCTCCTCACCCCATAGTTTGTTCTCAGTACAACAGAGTAATCCATTTAAAATGTCACATCACAGCACTACTCTGCTCAGAACATTTCAGAGGCTCCTCATTTCCCTTAGGAGAAGCCAAGGTCCTTAGAGCAGCCATCAAGGACCCACATGAACATCCATGTACAACTTCCCTTGTCCCTTCCTCTCCTACTGCTCTCCCACTTGCTTCAGCCACACTGGCCTTGTTGAACACCCCAGAAACTGTGTGTGCACGCTCTCTCTCTCTCTCTCTCTCTCTTTCTCTCTCTCTTTCTCATTTTGAGCCCTTTGCTCTAGTTGTCCCCACTATTTCCTCAGATATACATCTAGTGAGCTCCCTTATTTTATTCAAGACTACTTGAATTTTACTTTCTCAATGGTCCTCATTCTGACTACCCTGTTTAGTACTGCCACCTGCCCACCTCACCCCCAGCACTTCCAACCTCATCCTTTCTCCATTTCTTAGGAGACATTTTATTACTCTCTAACATACTATATGATCTATTTATTCATTAATTGTATTTTTTATCATCTGTATTCCTCTCTAAAATGCAAACCCCATGAGGGCAGGGATCTTTGTCCTTTTGTTCACCAGTGTATCCCTAGTGTATAGAACAAAGTCTGGCATATAATATGTACTTAATAAATACATGTACTGAATGGTGAATGAATGAATGAATGAATGAGTGAGTGAATGAATGGGATGCTATCAGGAGTGTTACAGTTCAGAATGCAATTCAGAATACAAGTGTGGTATCAGAATGCTTCCCTCTGTCCCCTGCTTTTTATCTGAAACCTCACCACTCCAGCTTTATTCACCTTGCCCAAGGGTTTTGGCCCCAGTTAAAAATGCAAATGTCTCTGTGAGAGGCATTAAGCTTATCAGTCATCTTCATTCTACTCTGAACAGCAGTCTAGGTTTTGTTGGTTACAAGAGAAATCTAGCTTCTTTGCCATTCTGGTGTGTTCATACTCAATTTTCAACATAACAAAAACAATTAGAATGACACAAATCCAAATATCTTCTCCATTTAGCTTTAGGACACATTATAGGCCCATGTTTCAGAGGCCTGTATATGTGATTATTTGTTTAAATTAATATTAAAATTGGTTTGCATCACCTTTATACACCATAGAACAGAAATAATAATAGTAGCTAACACTACTGAGTACTCTGTGCTGTGAGAGGTGCTTCACAAGCATTATTCATTTAATCCTCATTGCAATCCTATGAAGTAGTGACATTGTTTTTATTAACCCCATTTTATGTATTGAAAACTGAGACTTGAGGCTTAAGTTACATGTCCAGGGTCAACCAGCTGGTAAACTGTGGAATCTGGACTTAGTCTCCAAACTTGCATTCATACCACAAGCCTACTCTTGGAGGCAATGACTGAGGATGAGCTAGGTTGGGGGCAGGGAATGAACAGTTTAAAATGAGAGTAAAACAACTGCAAAATATGCTGCATAGAATTCACAAAGAGCCAGATAAATGAGATCAGAGTGCATGTGTGTTGGCAGCAGGGGGGCACATGCTGGATTTATAGCCAGGTTTTTTCTAAAGGTAGGCACTGTATAAATCTAGCAAGTAAATATTACCTTCATGCTTCTTTAGTTTCATTTTTCACTTCTCTTTTCAGCTGTGAAATGTGTTCTTTCCAGAAAAAAAAAAAAGGCATTTCCTAAATATTTGGTCTTGCAATGTAAGCCCATATCTTGGCTTCTAACTTTGGAACACAGCCCTTGGTGCTCTCCTTCAAGGTAAAAAGATTCTCAACATGACAAACGGAAACCATTCTGCATTCTGAATTGGAGATTTGGGAAATGGTGGGAGCTGAAGAAGAAATCTATCTTTTATTGCATGACTTACTTCTCTGCTGTAGGTTCTCGCTCTTCTCTCCTTTCCCATAGTTCTTTATTTGTGATGCTCTATCTACATAGTGTTATATTTCTGTATAATATAATATTTGTGTATGAATGCCTTTTCTGTACCCCTACTGCATTTTAAATGTCTTCAGGAAGAGAACTGTGTTCGTTTTTTCTTTGTGCACAGCATAATTCTTTGTACACATGGACACTCAGTGTATGTTGAGCACATGATTCACTCTAGAAAAGATTCCTTAATGTGACCACAAATGTTTCCTTTGAAAGCAATTAAGAGTACACTGAATTTGTTAATTATAGTCTATTTGTAAGGGTAAAAAACTTGGAAACAATCCAAATATCCAACAAAAATTTTGGCTACATAATAACATTGAGAGATTATCTACATGTAAAAAGTCATTTGTTCCTCTTCCAAAGAACAACCCTATGAGGAAAGCACTGTTATCTTCACTTTACAGGTGAGGAAACTAAAGCACAGAAGGGTCAACTTACTTTCCCAAGTTTTCACAGCTAGTAAATGTTGGAAGACCTGGGATTTGAACCCCAGGAGTCTGTCTTTAGAGTCTACGCCATTAATCACTTCATAGGTAAATTGGGGTGTGTTCATACAGTTAAATCCTTACATGGATGTAAACAATATTAGGGAATGATATTAGTGGCACAAACAAAGACTATTTACACTAAAAGGAAAACAGGTTCTTTTATACAAAGTGTTACATAAAATATTATGTATGCTATGATTCCATTTTTCTTTTAAAGACAGTTACATATTTGAACTAGGAAATAGACTCCAGAGGGTTCACACCAAAATGTTGATAAGAGCTTTCTTTGAGATTGCAGGTGAATTTTTCTTCTTTTTTCTCTCTGGCCCAAGGCACTGAAAGCCAGGCTGCCAGGGATGGTCTTCTGTTCCCTGGGCACCCACACCTTCAGGCAAGAGCCCTCACCCTTCTCCCAGTAACAACACCTGTAATAGATCACTCTGGACTAACTCTCCCATCAAAGCCCCAAGATGTCTCTTCCCTTCCTTTCCCTCTGCTCACCCTGACAGCCTCTCAGCATAGAATGCCACTGCCCACCTGCAAAAATCACCTCTCCAGCATCTCTTGCAAATGCTTAGGTTTCCTCATTGCATTTCCAAATGCCTGATAAGTATCAGCTGCTCTGTACTAATGGTACAGAGCCAGAAGCACCAAAGTGATGGGCAAATTTTAATAGTGTTCTTCTGTGAATATGTCACACTCTTTAATTTCAACCCATACAATTGTCTGTGTGTGCCTATAAGGGTGAAAACGCTGGGCAAACCCTGTGGCAAACCAGAGTAGGAAGAGGTGAGTCAGAAGGTTCTACTTCAATGTCCCTTCCAACAGGTTACCCTCTTTACCTTAATCAAGGACTGCAGGAGCATTCCTTCTCAGAGGCCAGAGATTGGAACATCTGTGTGCTGGTCTGGTATTGGGTCAACTTAACCAAGCTGGAACTCTATTTCTCAGAATTACTCTCCCTATGTGGTTCTAGGTTAGGGTTGTCCACAACAGGTATTTGTGGAGAAGTTAGGAGGTAGAAAAGCAGCAGCTTTCATGCTGTGAAGGTCAGTACATGGCTACAGGGGCTGCACCAACATGTGACACA